TCGACAATGTTGCGTCTTATTCTCTTTTTCGTATCTCCTTCGTTAAATTACCTTCAATCGATTCTAATGCGTCCACGGAGATTATAACTATTTAGTTAGTATACGTATACAGGGGCGAAATAACTTAAGCTCATTACCGTGTTTTCCGTTACAAAATCAGCATGAAACTGCGTAAGCAGCGACACGCGTGAATAGTTGTTTATTCGTCTTCTGTTTGCAGAGATTAAAAAATATCAAATGAAGTATCGAGATAGATAGTAAATCTTGTTTAATCTTGAAGAAGCTTCCTCGATAATTTTTAATTACTTTAGATGTTTGAGATTTTTTCATCAAACCTCGTTATTCGATAAAATTGAATAATCCTTTTGATCTTAAGAATCTTGTAATGACTGTTTAAGTTTGCTTCTCATTCAATGAGTGTCGTAATATTTATGAATGAGAGTGTATTTATGTGACGATTTATCTCTTGGAATAAAAATTGAAAATTGACATTCTTTAATATAATTTCAGACTCGACGAAAAGTGTGATTCTTAAAATTGGCTAAAAAGACACAATCCATTCGACGCAATAAAAGACTCATCCTTCGAAACGTATTAATAATAAGATGCAACTCATAAAATTATAAAATTGTGAATCGTTAAAGAAAATTCACATAAAATTATAAAATTGTGAATCGTTAAAAAAAAAATCATATAAAATAATAAAATTGTGTATCACTAAAGAAAAATTTTATTTTGAACCACTAAAGAAATTGTAAGTTTAACAATAATAAAAAAGAAAAGAGTTTCAATTTCGAACCACTGAAGAAATTTCAAGTTCAACACTGCTCCAACCATTTTTTCACCTCGTTGCAAATAGAAATTTTGGACGCTCGTCATTAACTCCTTTATCGTAGACATTCAAGAAAGATGAATGGAATTTTTATTCAATATCTCGGGGAAACAGAACACTCCCGTCGTATCTCTGCTATGTCGATGCATCTTGCCCGACCTCGCACATTTTCTCTGTTCCATTATCCGTGGACCCGGGGTTATAATGTATCCGGTTCGGTTAAAGCATCGAAGCTGTGCGCCGAGCCAAAGCTAGCGTAACCCATTCTGCTGGCCGGTACCGCAACATTGGTGTTAAATTGCAATTATTAATCGCGGTAAGTAAACTATACGAGAGGCTGCTACTTCCAGCCCTCGAGACTGGCGGTTTAGGCACGTCGTAATTTCGCGATGGCTCGTGTTGCGTTTTCCACGAATTAACCTGCTTCTCTCAGCTGAATTGCGTAATTTTAATTATTCTCCCATTTTTCTATTCGATCGTAATTGTTCTATGTCATTTTCATACAATTTACGTCGGTTAAATCGGTGTTAAAATATCGTTGAAATAATTGCAAAAATTGATATTTAACTGGTGTTTGAAATTGAAGATATAAATTTGTGAAGCACTCTATTGTAAAATTGAATAATTTAAATTGCAACGTGTAAATGATATTAAATGCAAACGTAACAATTTTGTAAAAAAAGAAAATTGAGAAAAGATTTTTAAAAGATTCTTTAAAAAGAAGAATTCTTTACTATTTGTTTAATACTTAAAATTCAGATTCTCGAATATTTAACAAGTCTTGTGAATTATTTAATATCACATATACTGCATTCTCGCTTAATCGTGAAATTGTTTAAAGAAATCAATGAACGAAATAGTACTTGTTCTTACAAGACCAAAAGTGACGTTTAAACTTAACATTCGTCCTCGCTTATTTATTAATCAGAAGTGCACTTCATTTGCAACAGAACACACTGCATAATTAACACGCAACACGTCAAGTTAATACCTTTTTCAACCTCTAATTGCACTCGAAACTCTCGCATAAACTTCACGAGCTCTGTACAAATGTTGAATACGGGCAAGTATAACAAAGTTTCGTAAGTTTCCAAGCAGCTTTGAAGTTACATTTCTATCCGTACAGAATCCTCCCACTCTCTCTTCATATATTCATATCTCTCGACTCGTAATCTTCGTGTTCGACGTCATGGTTGCTCTAAATTTTTCACGTGTACAAAGAGAGGAAGGGAGGGAAGAAAAAATGATTTGCTCGTATAAACGTCTACTTTAGGAAACAGTGAATCTTCTGGCAAAATTTTTGCGCGAAAGCCTGCCTTTTCTCTCCGTCCTTTCGCTATCTATCAACGAAATTCTTACTCTCCGAGCGGAGTGCAGAAACACGCGAGGAAAAATGTGCTGTGATAATTCTGACGCGTTTTACATCAAACGAGATTTGCTTTCGTGACCCGGCATAAAGGAACAGCCCCGCGCTGAAGTACATGGAGCACGCGTCGCGCCCCTTACAAATAACACGCTCGTCTTCGTAGGAAATTATATTCTTGTCCCGCGAATAACTCTTATATTTTAAGAGTATTACGCGAGCACCACGCGCCGCGCGGTTCATATTTGCGCCCGAGGGGATCCTCCTGGTTAAATGAAAATTATTCCTGGGAAAGGAATTCGAGGAGGAACACATTTTTCAATGGTATTTTTAATAATGACATTAGCAGGAACTTTATGTTCTGTAAACTGTTTAAGTTGAATCGATAGGTAGATCAAGAGAACGTGTTAGGGAAGAATTGTAAAGATTTGGAGGAAGTGAATTTAATTGTAAGCGAAATTATAATTTTGGACAAAGGTAATTTTTGTTTTCCACGAGATTCATTTCTTTTCGTAGAATATAAATTGCAAATTTAGTAAGAAAAATATGGTTCTGTGTTACGAATTATATGAAAGAAAATTTTTATTAAATTTAGAAATCTCTTTTCTATCAAATTTAGATTCATATAAAAATTATGAAATTCGAAACTCTCTTTTCTATTAAATTTAGAAAATTAATAAAAATTTCCTTTTCGTAACGCAGAACCATATTTTTTTCTTTGCAAATTTGCAATTTTACATTCTCTTCGATACAACCAAATTATGCAACAAATTGGCTGCACCAATTTTTCACAAGAAAAACTGCCGAGAAAAGTTGTATTATCTTGTAATTTGGATTTATCTATCCTCGCGGCATGTTCTGTGCATATTCCCATGAAACCTTAAGCAGAACTTACAAACTGGAGTATATACGCATATAAAGATATTTCGCGTAAAGATAGGTCGACGGTCACTTCGAATTTTCTTCAACTTTGTTAAACGACGACGGAAGAAAATTTTTTCCCCCGTGCTAGCATGCAAGATGCATTACTTGAATTTTTGCGCTCCACCTAAAGAAATAACTTTTATCTTCGCCGGGTGAGCCGTTTAAGCTTTTATTACGCCATCACGCTGCACTTCAAGATAAAACGACTCATACGGCGGCGCTGTCTAAGAGGCATTTATGAAAATCATATTTTTTCAGAGGAACTATCAATCCTCGGCGTGGCTGGGGAAACTTTATTAAAATCAAAATTCGAGATCAAAAGCAAACGAAGAATGTGGAAGAACAATAAGGCTGGCTTAAAATGCAGATTCTCTGTTTTCTCGTGTAGGAGGTAGGAAAATATGTGTCTCCTCTGCGTATTGTTCGAAGCTTCGATTGTCGGAAATGTTTAATTGGAGAAATTCGGAATAATATATTGTTCTTAATGGAATAAATTTTACGAATATGTTTATGAGGATAATTATATTCTTTAATTTAATAATCCTCGAAAATATACAAAATTTAGATGCAAATCTTTTGGCAAAATAATTCACAGTAGCTCAGAGTATTTGTTCGGTATAATAACTTTCGGAATAATGAAACAGAGAAAAAGGGTACATAAGACAGAATCACAAATGAAATTAATTCATGAAGGTAACTAAATTACAATCAAGTAAAATTCACATCAATGATCTCTCTTAGTTTATTGTTACCACGCTCCTTAATTAACCATTTAATTTAACCTTAATTAACCAACCGTTTAAAATTCAGTTTAAAGGTCAATTTCCTGAATATGTCGACCAAGATTCTTCTTTATCTCTGAATGACGAACTCGATAGGAAGAGATACGGAGGATATTTTCATAAATCGATGTCAATTATTTAATTCGAGATGGTGAAATTCAGGTTGATTTGTCAGCATATCGACAGAATACGTCTTATCGCGAATTTTCAGAGAGCCGAGTGTGTCGAGGCGCGTTGTGCAACACGTCCACGTCACTGCAAGACACTGATTTCGTGTCTACGTGCTTGTCCGCTTGAAATGCAATTGCATACGCGATGTGGTGTATCGATAGCGCCGTCCGTATATCGAAGTCGAACATTATGCGGCCGGAAATAAATCGACCACTGTCAGAAAGTGGAACGCGCGGGATCTTATTAAACCGACAAGATCCCAGATTATTTCCTTCTTGTTGTTCGTGTGTGCGGTTAAGGAAGTAACTGCTCACAGTACATTGTTTGCTGTCCAGAATTACTTTACATTTTGGTAATTCTTATCAGCATTACGTTAATAATTCGTGAGATAATTTTAAAGCGTATACAACACTTTTAAGCAAGGTGAAAATTATTTGATATAAAATGAAACAGATTTTTTGATAATTTGAATTTCTGTGACAATTCTCGAATCGTTTCTCCAACATCAGATTCCATCAATTGTCGTAAATTTCCGAATCGAATAAGCGATTTATTGGTCGACCGCGTTCATCACTTTTGAAATTTTTCAAACCAATTTCGAACTGTCCCTTCAGAGATGTAGTTCTTTAATCGATCATTTATTCTTTATCTCTAAACCCACGAAACATCTCTTGTCAATCCATCTCTTCAAAAATACACAAAAAATTGAAGAACAAGCAAAGAAATTTTTACACTATCCACTCCAACTCAGTAAAAAAATAACGAATGATCGTTAATTGCAGTGAAGCTGTAGCAATCTACAATATCACCGGTCTGATTGTAAATCAAATTTCTTAACGACACATTGTCGATAGAGAAATGTCAATTTAATCTGTGCAAGAAGACAATATTCGCTGACAACGACGTGTGTTCATTTTTCTGCTTTCAGTGCCACGGACCGTATTAAAAGAACAATATCAGGGTGTCGTGGAGGCAGACGAGGAGGATTTGGTGCATCAGTTCGATGAGGGCTTCGACAGGGCAGACTTCAGGACGGAGTTTAGCCCGAGTCCGAATCTCGAGGGGCCGCAATCGCAGCCGAGGGACAACGTCTCCCGAAATTTCCCAACGGTCAGTTCATCCCCGCCGCGAGCGCGAACGAACAACGACGGTGAGTAACGAGCATCGGTTGCTTCCTTTCCTAGAACTGGTTCGAGGCTGAACTGACCTCGATAATACGCCACTCGAGTTGCTTTCCACCAACTGTATCTTCTTCTTCTACGGCGAATCGATTCGATGTCAATGAACTTTTATAATTCAGTAGTAAAACCGATGATAAATGAAATTAATTGTTATTCTGTCAGATTTGCATTGTTACTTTTATGAAATTGTAAAGAGCTTGGAAGGAAAGGGGATGGAATTTTTAATTAGATGAAATTGCAAGTTTCAGTGAGATTAATTTTATGTATAGGATGTTGCACTTATAATGAACATCTAAATTATTCCCACTCCTATTAAAAGTAAGAAAAAAATACCGAAAAGAGTTTGTATGGTTTAAGAATGTGCATTTAGTAACGATAAAAGAGTCCCTTTGAGGTTATTTTAAATATCATTTTTATTCACATTAATGTCTGTCTTTTATAAGGAGACGTTGTAGTTGACAACAAAGCGGGGTCAACGACCTATGACGTCATGATCTTAAAGTCATAATAGAAATTGCTAACATGCAGGGAACGAATATTAATAATAATGAATTTTAGTCGAAAATCGAGTAATGATTCAACATTGATACTTTATAGAATAAAACTATAAGTATTATAAATAAAATACGGCGACTTAAAAATAATTTTGCCCTTTTCCTCTATATAGGGTCGAATCATTTTTTATTTTCTTTCCTCGGGTTTCGTTTGTATCAAATAAAGAACACGAAAAGGTATTCTTAGAGAACTATGATTTTAAGGAAGAGAAATGTTTGAATTCGAAGGAGATCCTTGTTTTCAACTTACATTTTCTGACATTCCCCCTTTACGAAAAGCTTACATTTCCCGTATGATATCTCGAGTAGAATTTCTTGCCATCGCGTGCATTAAATTCAAAAGATACAACGGTGCACGTCGTCACTGCGTGAAATCGAATATTCCAACACTCTGTTACGTGATATTACTGTTGAATTGACAGATATTACATATAATTATCGGATACCTTCACCGAAACAAGTGAAACCCTCTCGTGTTTTACGAATATTATACAGAAACGTAACGCGTTCAGCATTGAATCGAATCGAATTTGACGTTCCCTGGTTCCTTTAAACCTCACGCAATTCTCGAGTGGCGTTTTCCCCCAAATTTTCGAAACATTTTTCGCAAGGAAAGATCGCGACAGTAAGATAATACAAAACTAAAATTCGTAAGCTTACCTACATATTTTCACCGTAAATTCACCTGTAAACAAAGATTAAGACTGATAATCTCACGATCTCTCCTCGCAAACACTTCCAGTCAATTTCCATGCTTCCTCGAACGCACGCACGCGCGCACGCACGTTTGCTTGGCAAGATTTTCCGCCTCAGCTTGGCCTTCTTGATCCACACTGACACATGACACACGCGCGAGCATAAACGTCGAGCATTAGCGTTTCGCCAAAGTCGTTAGCAGCCGGAGCATTAACGCTCGAACGTAATTAAGGTTAATGCAGCACTGATATCACGCTGCTTTATGACTTATATATGTGTATGTGTATATGGAACTCTTACGGGCTGATCCGTACCGTTCCACGACTACTGGCTTTGCAGTCTTGGCCAATAACGTTGGCGGTTTACCTGATGTTAATAGGAAATCGATAGCCTCGGATTTGTAAACCGAGAGGTGCACGTCGTGTTGCGGCTACGGAAAATAGGAGTCCAGATTCAGCAGGCGTCGTTGCTCAAAGCGTGATACGGTTTCTGGAATCCGGTCAACGATCGGCCACGATGGACCGCCGCTGGGCGTTCTAATAATTGCCTACCATTGTTTGCCCTCGTGCGTGGAATGGGACATTGCACCACTTAGGCGAGCGAATTCTGTGCAGTGGAAAAAATTCGACGTATTATAGAGACTAATTGTTCTTTAGTATTATATAACGAGCAGTTTTTTTTTTCATGAGAAATTACAGAAGTTTGCAACGACGAAATTTTGTCGATGGATTTTAGAAATAATCGAATGGGTTTTATGGGTCGAATGGGAAATAACTCAGTTTCGCAGTACGTTGAATGTAATTTAAAAGTAAATAGAACGAAGTAATGAAAGTAGAAATCTTTAAACAGTGTATCATCTCTAATTGCAATTTTATGAAAGAGAATATTTATTACGTGATTGAAAATAGGGGATAAATAGGCTAACCTATAAACTTGACACATTCAGTTAACTGAAACTCTGAAAAAAGTAACTTTTTCAACTGCATATACTTAGGATGATTAATTTCACTTTTTCCTCTGCCAACGTACGAACAGGAATATTCTATTCCCTGCAGAGATTTGCAATCTGCTATCACTGAAACTCGATGGATGCTGGAAAACTAGATATCTGGCAGACGTCGATCCCTGTTGTCCGAAATGGTGTAGCTTCTACTACTTCAGAAACATGGAACGTGTCATTGGTACACCGGTATTACTAATAGTACTGCTGAATGGTCGAGACTTCAAGCAGAAGTAGTTGTACGCCAGGTCTGACCAATATGGGACGTTACTACTGGCGCACGAACGTGTGCCAGAAAACTCGAGCAGAGAGTATTGCATTAGAAATGGAATTTCTATTGCGTGATATAGATTGTTTAAACACTTGGATAACAATTATTTAACCACCATCTATGAACTGTTACTCATCTATTAACAAATTGCAATATTTTTTCTACTTTTTAGAAAAGTATTTAATATACTGTATACAATAGTTGCCCTGTGAATATTTATTTATTTATGAGTATAAGCCCATTATAGTACATAATTATATTACAAATTGTAGAGGGAGAAATAATAATATATACTGTAAATGAAGGAGAGAAAAAGAAGAGACTAAGGAAAGTAAGACAAACAGGACACCGACAGAGAAACTAGAAAATTAAGTAAGAAGAATAGCAATAATATAAAATCCGATTCTAAGTGACAATTCAGGAAACAATAAAACGATAATAATGAAGCTTGTAACATCAAAAATATAAGAAACAAAAGAATATTAGATAATTATAGTAAACGATAAATATTGATATATCACTTTTATATTAAATAAAACTATTCACACAGAAGATATTCCTCTCAAAAAAAAAGAAAAAAGTAACTCACTCGCTGACATGAAGAAAATAATGATTACTTTCATTCAGTGGAAGTGCCTATTAAGCTAGAGTTTCAATAAAATCCTCAAAAGACGATATAGTATGTAGTCAATTACTAAATTCCATTTCATAACATACCATAAATTTGTTAATAGCTCGGCGAATTATAGCAAAACCATCAAAGGTATCAGCGGTTCAATTTCAATCGCATCCCCAATATCGAGATCCATATTTTCGGTAACAATGACCTCTTCGTTCGTCTTATGTCACAAATCTCCACGCGAACGCAAGTATACGAAGACCGCATCGATGGAATTCCACGGGAATAACGGTCTGCGCATTTCCAAATTAATTCAGACACTTGCGCCGGGGCCCGCTTCGTCCATATTCTCGTTATTAAGATCAGACGCATTACCCTTCCCCCTCGTTTCTCATTCAATGCGTTCCTCAGCGAGAGAATTGAAAAAGGAGAAGCGCGGCGAAACACGCGAGCCAACCCCTTCGAGGTAAACAATACGCGTCGCGATACATAGAAATTTCTCCCTAAGTGCTGTCTTCCCTCGGTTCTATTTTTTTCCTCTTTTTTTGGCCTGCTCGACGACTTCCAAGCGAAACGGCCGCACCTCGAACGATGGAAAACGCGTTCACAGCGCCGTGGCTTTCAGCAACGCGTCGACGAAGCGAAATCGTCGCATCTTCAAGCTTTCGTCCGCCCTCGCGATCCTTTTTTCCACGCTTCTTCTTTTTTTCTCTCTCTCTCCTTCTGTTCGCACAGCCCTTCGAGCGAGCGGGAAAAGTTATTTCCCTGCGGTTTGATGCACTCTAAGTCCACATCAGCCAGAATGTTTTATCACAGTCGAAAGTTCTCGCAAGTTTGTTTAATTAGTCGGTTAACTCTTGGTTAATGAGATTCTTTCGGACTGAAGTGAGACGCACCGACTGTGTGTTTCGTGCGCAGAGAGATTAGTTCCGTGTAATTCGGGACGTACTTTTGTTGGAATGGTACACTATAATACGGTGGTGTGTTGAAACAGTGTTTCTGCTGGCTCTGCTTTTTTCCTCTTTTATGAATATGGCGATTTAAACGATAGTTGTTGCTCTCTGAGTAATGCTGAAGTTTAGGTGATTGCGAGTATAACTTGTCGAATTTGTTGAGTGAAAGAGACTGTTCTACTTGAAACTCAAGTTAAAGAGAAAATTTTTCATTCTGTCTTAGAGCATCAAAATTATTACAGTTTACCTGTTTAATTAAATTATTTGACAGTTTATTCTTTCCTAAATTATCCCAAAATTCTTGTTACACACCCAAAATTGTACAAAAATTCAATATACACTACCGGCCAAATGTTTGGAATCACTATGCATTGCAAGTTGCACCGAAATTCTTAAGAAAAAAGTTAGCATTTATAATAATGTTTTAACGAATTTGTTATCATTCAAATCAATTGAAATGAGGTAAAGTGCTATTGATCTCCACAACATCAGTTTCAAATCAATAAAGAATTAATAGGGAATTCAGTATTGATGTAAATTGGCAGGTGATTCCAAATTTTTGGCCGGTAGTGTATTTTGCAACCTTCTTAAAATCTCTGCTTTAGTATTAGTCACACACTTTGTAATTCTTCTCGCAAAATATCCATTGCACACATGCCAACAAATCTAGCCAGCTTGTATCGCAATCAGCGTGTCAACGTTACAGGGGACAATGAGTTAAACGAAGCCGAAGCTCGGTAAACGAAACTCGACATTATTCTCGGCGATTAGCAGTGAAATCGTAGCAGCCGCACATCTCGATAACCGTGCGAACTGTGTCCACATCTAATTTAGAAACCTAGCCTCGGTACAATCCCGCACGAGTCAGCTCCTCGT